CATGTCGCATACAAGGGAACACATAACATTAGACAACTTGGCTGGATGGACCGACCTACTCTGATACCACTAATGTAACACCCTTTTCTACCCCACAAATATCATAGCAAAATAACACAGATTTCAGAGTAAAAGATTTAACTCAATAAAAATCACCTCAAAGGGCGTACATTTTTCAATGTCTCAAAATAAGTCAATACTCTGTAACACATGGGTTTTGCCAAAATACATCAAACTACACAAAACAGCGGAACTCAAAGGGCATAAATCAATGTTTTCCTCAAAAATGGAAATAAGCAAAATAACTCAACAACATAGTTTAACTCAGAAGAACCCAACCTGATGTTGCATATTAGAGCAAGACCCTCTAAGTTAACCAAAAAGGCTAACAACTCAAAGACTTCATAAATAATCCTCGACGACATCCACAGCTAAACTTGGTCATCTGCACGTTACCCACGTGGAGGTAACATTCAAACAGGCAGGGTGAGTAAAATCATTCATAATAATAAATGTATAACAATCAACATATAACATGGCATCATAATCATATTCAACACATTCATATTCCTCAATATGCCTCAAAGGCCATAACATCATAATTCATACAAAAAGACCCATAGATTCAAGATGCAACAAACTCAATGCATGTGGTAACAATCATCACAGCTCGATGGACACTGGGCCATCAACCCTCTATAGATCCCCATCAATAGGATCGATTCTACTAGAGAACCGGAGCACATCAAAATACTTCACATCTGCGCAGTGGGATTGAAACTAAAGTAATTGAGGTCCTGAACCGAAGTCTGGATGCACATGAATTGCATGATGCACATGTCATAAATCATCCTCATATTAACATCATAGGTGCATCATCATTCATCATATTCATCATCATCAAACGTCATAGCTCATCATCATAATCATCATCATATGTCATGTCATCACAACTCATCATAATAATCCTCATACATCATGTCATCATAATTCATCATAATAATCACCAAACATCATGTCATCATAATTCATCATAATAATCATCATCACACATCATAGGAATCATCATATAATCAAGTACAAGCCACATAGCGCTCACAGTCATACTCTTATCAATTCATCATATTATCACATATCATCACCTATTATCACATATTATCATATATTATCACATATTATCACATATTAATTCATAATTATGCTCGCGGTAATCCTCATACTATTGTCTATTAATCACATAAACCTCACTGTCATACTCATGTTAACTCATCTCAGAAATCACATAATCAAACATCAAGGCATCGCTGCACACAATCAATATTCGCGAAACTCTACTACGTTCGCTGGCATGTTCGCTAGGCGAGTCTGGGGCGAGTTTCTTATGTGTTAGCTTTATTAGAACTACACATGGGTTAGCTTATGTGTGTCAGCTTGCTGGTTTTCAAATACAAGGTTTTCCTATTCCATTAGAACCAATTCATGTTTTTTTTAAAGAAATTACACATTCAAGAGCATGCTAGCGGTCATGACGATAGTGGCACAATGCTGGATTTAGAAGTAGAGTGTGAAAAGCTGAATACATGTTTCAATTTTTAGGATATTGTAGGCCAGAGGGTGTTGAAGAAAAAAGTTCGAGAAGTAACACATCCATTCAACATTTTTATGTGTCCACCGTCAGTGAAGTACAAGCCAATGAGGGGACTTAAGAAGGACAAAAAGGGTGAAGAGAGTGGCGTGCATCATGATCCCTCACAGTGGGAGTATGGTGAGGGCTCGCAAGGGAGTCATACTACAAAGAGATCATGCACGAAACCTATAGGAAGTCAACCTTCTAGTATGCCGGGTCAAAGTCAACCTTCAAGCATGTCAGGTCAAAGTCAATCGTCCAATCTTCGAAGCATCTTTACTTAGTTTCCTGGTTTCTTGCATCCATACATTGATGACATTGTTGATGTGGGTGACGATAGAAATTGTGGTTTTCGGGCTACTGCAACTTTACTTTAATGGGGCGAAGAGTCACAGTCGTTGGTCTAGACGCAATTAGATACTCAAGTTCATCAACACCCAAAATTGTTTTCCAATTTGTTTTATGACACGGTCTCTGAAGTTAAGAATTTCTTAAAAATAGAACGCTTGGGTGTGCAGGGTAGAGAAAAATGGATGTCAATTCCTGATATGGGTTACCCTATTGTAAGTAGTTACAGTGTCGTATTTGTCTCATTATCGCAGAAACTTTACATTACTTTTTCCCTCTTACCATAGCTCCACCTATGTATACGAGCAAGCATAAAATCATTGTTGTTGGTTTTGTGAACAACAATCATTGGGTTCAAGTAAAATTAAAATCTGATAGTCCAACGTCTCCCGTCACTGGCCATTGGAGAGAGAACTATATTGAAGATGCAAAAGAATGGGAATCAGCATATGCATGACGGATTAGGCACTGGGAGGAAGAAATTAGAAAGTCATCCTAATTTGCTCTGTAATCTTGTGTATATTATGTATGTATTATATGTGAAACCATTTATGTATGGCAACGTGTCAAAAACATTGAAATTATTCTTTCTTTTTTTAATTCTAGTTGCATACCAAAAATTTAGAGTTTCTGAAATTTCCGGTATACTAGAAAACTTAAATTTTCGAAAATTTTGATCATTTTACGTAATTATTATTTTTCTGATATAATTTCACCAAAAATTTTGAAAATTCCGATAGTCAATACTGTAAATTTTAAAATTTCCGGTATGTGTCTCACATGAATGTTCTACTACGGTAAATTTTATGAAATTTTTGGTATATTCAAGAAATTTCCAATATATAACTGTAAATTTTATAATTTTTAAAATTTTTTAAAAGATAACAAAGTAATTTTTCCATAAGTGCAAAATATAAATAGAGAATAGTAAGTTAAATTCTCGTGACATAAAAGTGAAATATAATTAAATTTGTAATGTATATACCGGTTAAATGAAATTCTAATGGTAATTTGTTAACCATTGTAAAATTTATCAACTAATCATGGTTAAATTATTCATTATCTATTTTAATTGGGTACAACCAAAATGATATTTTTCTTTCTTAATTTAGACATTTTATTAGGTGAGCCTTAGGAGATAGGAACTAGTAGTTTGGGTACATATGATATATATAATGCAAGTGAAGTCTATATAAACAATGTATATATTAGTAATAGTACTTGCCAACATACTATATATATCAACACATAATTTTAATTTATTAAATACAAACACAATTGGAATAATAGTACTTTAGAAGAAGAAAACATAAAACGTATATATCAAATATGAAAACCATTTTAAAAGAAGAAAAAGAATAAAAACTCTAGCTGCATGCCTTGTCCTTGCAAAAATATCTTACACACTAATTTTAGGAGTATTTTAGAAATCAAAGCAACACCATTTATTCTAACAATAATGCAATGCTATTCAGCTTAGCGATAAATTGGTTTCCATTATCTTGCAATTATTTGGAATAATTCACACATTTTTTTAGATAAAGGATATAATTTATGAAATATATTGATTTTTCGAAATTGTGTCCAATTCTATTATTATTATCCATTACAAAAAATTTAGAATCTTTTAACTTTGTGCAATTTTAATTTAAAAGATTAATAATGTATTCAAATATATATTATTTATTTGTGAAATTTGTTTTTCTTAAAGAGTATTTATAAAACTAGACGATTCCATCATGACACTATGGGGTAACGAAAATACAAGAAAGAGGGTTTGAATTAGATTCCTATAATAAAAATCTTTTGCTACCCAAGAACAACAAGAAGAGAATTTGGAATAAAATTAATGAACAAAAATATTTTTATGTTGGTTTACTGTTAATGAAGCTACCTCCAGTTCACCTACCAAGGTGATTTCGCCTTATTACAAAGACTTAATCTACTATAATCAATCTTGATTACAACCACAAAGGCAAATTGTCAATGTCTTCTTTAGAAATTTTGACTATACCCTAGTCTCTCAAGGAAATGCAACTGAGAAACAAAGTGTGTTCCAAAGATACTTTTATGAAAACATATTACATAAATGTAATGCAAAGATTTACACACAAAAATATTTTTTTATGAAAGTGTATGAACAAAAGTTCCTCGCGTGTATGTTTTTCTTTCTCTCAAAAGTTTTATAGTATTATAATGTTCACGTAGTAACTCTTTTCATTTTGTTGTTTTCCATTCTTCCAAGACCCATTTTTATAAGCAATAGAAAGATTTGTTGGAGTACAAAAATGGAATTCCACAAGTAGTTGTATCCTTGCATAACAGTTTGTGAAAATAAGAGATAAAATGGTACAATAGTACAGACTTTTTTTCACAAAATCAGTGTAGTAAAAAGAATATTGATCTTGTATTGTGTATGATTTTCTCACGTGAAACTTTTTTGATCTTATCTTCTAAACTTCAGAGGCTTTAGAAAAGAGAGTTGATGAAGCATGCATAGAAGAATCAAAGTTTGTATGAGAGCAGTGGCGGAGCCAGAAAAAATTTAAAGCCTGGGCAAAAATTATGGTGTTCTAGAGATATAAAGTGATATAAAGTTTGCCCCCATTTCGCAGAGATATAAAGTGATGTATGGTGTTCTAGACCATGTGTACGATAAGGAGCAAAATTATGTGTACGATAAGGAGCAAAATTATGTTTCCTTTGATGAAGTTGCCTCTGAAGAATCTGGTTCAATTAAGTTTTTGAAGAAAGTAATGCCTGATTATGCTTAACTAGGTCCGACTTCACTTATTCTCATATAATTTTTTATGAGAATACCATAAAGTGATGTATGAAATTTGATTCACTAGAGTATAGAAAAATATAGAAAAATAAACAATCTACATTTATAATATCCTCTGTTGTGTATATATACATACAATATTTTAGATTCAACACTATTTATAAAATTGCAGAAGCAATCTGGTTATGAAAAAACTAAAGAAAAAATTAACCTTAAACTAAGCAAAAAAACAAAATTAAATCATAGAATTGGTGGTGTTGGAGTCTCCCAAATATCAAAAACATTCTCTTCACTATGAAGTGCAAAAAGCCTATCACCACCAATTGAAAAATCACAGATTGACCCACCATAGCTTCGTCGAAGTCTCGACGTTAAAACCCATTCAGACCAACACCAAACCATTTTCTTCGCTCTGAAATCCAAAAGACTAATGTAACAGTTATCTTTTCTAGGAAACATTGTAGCAACTAACAAACAGTTACTACCTTCTAACCATTGAAGTTTATCAGCATCACCAAACGACCAACGTAAAGGCTCATAAAAAAAATCAACTTGTTTACCAGTAACCTGGTCCCAAACACCAACACCATATTCGTTACTTCTACCTTTACAAGGGATAGGCAGTGGTAGCAACAATGATAATCGAAACCAAATTCCATATAATAGCATTAGCAACATGACACAAGTCGTTATAGTCGAAGGAGGCAACTTGCTGCAACTTAAGTTTGTTCATGTTGAACCATAGCAACCGTGGTGTTGTGGTTGAAACAACTGCGTTAAGCTATGTTGACAACGCTTTAAACGTAATCGATTATAGTCTCGCCTTTGATTCGAAACCTTCAATCCACTTTGATGAACGTAGTTAGTGTTTAACTGCAACTCAATAAATCCTGCAATAAACTCACAACATCAACAAATCCTGCAATAAACTCACAACATCAGCAATATAGAAATACAATATGCCACCGGGTCGACACGTTGCTGTTGTGGCTATGGTGAATTGCTGCCTTGAGCTGTTGTTGTTTAGAGCTGCGACGACGTAGAGTTTGTGCGGAACTGTTGCCTCTGAGAAATTCTACTTTTCTAAAATCATGTGTTTGAGGGGAGTTTGGAGATGACTTCATTGTTGATGTGTCGCCGACGTTTTTTGGAATTGGGTGATGCTTGTTGCTATCCATCAATACCAAAGTTATGACCCATTTGAGAATCTAACGACCACCATGCTTAACCCTCCATGATATCAGCGAGTCGAAACCTTTGTCGGTGCCCAAATAAATGACAAGAGAACCTGTCAAACACAGAACACGGTCAGATTACAAATAACACTTGATGCAAATATCTTCATGCCTACGGCGTAGCAACTGATCTTGCTGCTTCATTTTGTCGTCAGCCAATATTTCTTGAAGCCCTGCGTGTTGTTGTTGTTTTCACCGTAGTAGATTCGAAAATGAAACGTACAGACTGTTGTTGTTGTTTTCACCGTAGTAGATTCTAAACTTTCTAAGCTACCAAGATTTGGTGAGAAAAAAACAATGCAAATTTTTAACTGTTGGGTTACCTTTGCTTTTGTTAAGTTTGGTTGAGGCAATTTACCAAACACTTAGTGTGCAACTTGTAAAACGGTAGAAACAACAACAATTTGATACCGATTCATAAACCACAACCTGCAACAAGAATAATCATCAACAAAAACAATAATTAAACATCATGAAGTGAAATATTTGAAGCGAAAATAGACAAAAAATTGGTTGAAGCATTCTATCGAACACCTTGTGAGCAACACTAAAAGCTGTATTTTTCTGCATTCCACTGGCTCCGCCACCGAATTCATAATTTTCTACCAAGGCAGGAAAATTGCTAATCCCAAATCGTACCCTTTAACCAAATCAAATACAACAGTAAACCCAAAATCATAACTATAAGAAATTGGGATGAAGTAGAAGAGAAATCGAGACACAAACGAAAAATAAACACGAACCACAAACCTGAACAAAAGCGGCGAGCGAAGAAGGTTGAATACAGTTTGCAAACGAAGAAGGTTGAGTTCATAAAACATTTTTCCCCTTCTCGTTGTCGAGCCTGGGCACCTGCCCTACCTGGTCGGGCCCTGACTCCGCCCCTGTATGAGAGAGTCTTCAAAACCTAGTCTTTAGAGTCTTGATCCAGAGTCTGGTAACGCAGTTCATCAGAGTTGTTGAGCGCAAGACTTCAGAGCTTGATAACATCAGAGGCTTTTCTTATCAGAGTCATAAACCAAAGCTTTCTGGATAAGCGACGATCAGAAGCGTTTGACAGAGTAATATGGAGCTTAATTATCTTTGTAGAACACACATCATTTTACTTCTTTGAATCATAGGGCACTAGGTTCAGACTCTGATGATGTCACATGGAACTTTCTCAGAGTCATAACTTATTTCTAGTAACTACAAACTTAACAAAACCATTAGAGTACAAAATTGTTCTTTAAGAAACTGTGTATTGTCATCATTAAAACAAAAGGTCAGATGCAGAACCAACTCTAGTTCTTACAATCTCTCCCTTTTTTTTAATAACAAAACCATGTATTTTGATGAACAATTTTTACTTGGTTTAATCATATAAAATCTTATAAGAGTAAGCTAGTAAGCTAGTAAGCTCGTAAGGTTGTAACATCTGAGCATGATTTTTATACTATCAAAATTTTCTCAACTTATTCAGAATGGAGTTTGTAGACACCCATGAGTTTAAGACTTATGAAAAATATTAATACATAAAACATTTTAATCAACGTGAAAGTAATAACTTTCATGTATGAGATTTTGATTAAAATTTCTTGATTCCTTGTATCATAATCTGCATTGTATCTGAGCTGCCAAAAACTTGATGCATCCGCAAGTGCACGGAAATATCGAAGTAATATAAAAGATTTGTCGAACCCACAGAGACCAATGTCAATCTATCGTTATCTATTGTTGCAGCGTAAAGCTAAGGCTAGTGTAATTAGGAAAGTTAAATGCGGATGAAATTAAATTTAAAAGAAATAAAGGTTATTGATTTAAGGAAAAGCGCTAAGGGGATATCGGTATGTAATGCTTTAGTTTTCGGGAATTCGACAGGTCGCCAGTGCTTTTTAGTCTTTGCAAACACTTTTCAGGAGAAAATACTCGTTTAAAGACCTTTGCATCACGCTGGTTGTTGACTCGGGTCATAATTCTAAGGCGGAATGTACGCTCTTGCAGTCTCATTCGGGGTTAAAACTACTTTTTGAAAACAAATAAATTTTAATTTCTTTTAAAGCGCTTTCGCTGTGTTTAAAATCAATGCCTAGTTTTTACTATCTGGTTCAAACCCCACGCTTTCACGTGTCGGCTCGATCCTTAATATGGTTTTCCATTCTCATGGCAAAACCACCATAAATAGCTTCTCACTGTCGTGACAAAGGTTTATTTAGAAATTTAGATTAAAAACTACTGCCAGAAAGATTGTTTGTAAAAAGGTAAGGTGCACCGGGTATTATCGAATCCCGTCCTACTAATTCGATTACATACCGATAAAACTAATTTAGCTAGACATGATAATTAATTCAAACGGAATGAAACATAAACAACAAAATAATAAAACATGCATTATGACAGATAATAAAGTAATAATTCAATTAATAAGAACCTGGAAAGTAGTACTGAAATTGAATCTCAAGTAGTCCTCCACAATGTCGGCAGGATTCTACTATGGTGAAATAAAAGTGCAGAAAGAATACGGCAATACAATTTCATAAAAAGGGAAAGGAAAAAGGAAATAATGCAAGAACGTAAATTTGGCTTCAATGGAAATTTCGGCAGCACTTCGATACGTCGAAGCCCTCCTCAAAGCTGCGAATCTCAGGCCTATTTATAGGAGATACTTTATTTCTCAACTTTCAGAGGTCATGCATGAGTTCTGGGGAAAGTGGGCGTAACTTCTTGTAGTGGGCAGTTAGTGGAGAAAGTGTAGGAGAAAATGAGGAAAGCGTAGGAAGAAATTAAGTTGAAGGTGTTCGTGGCCACTTCTTTTTTTGCACGTTACTGAACTTGGGGTCGTGACGGTCGTTATGGTCTTGTGACGGTCGTGTTGAATGTGACGAGCGTGATGGTCTTGTGACGACCGTGATGGTTGTGACGAGCTTGATGGAGCTGTGATGAGCGTCACACTCACAAAATCCCCTTTCTGTTTTTCTTCTCTATTTCTTTCGTTCTTCTTTCTTTTCCTTCCATTTCTTCTTCTTTTCTTTCTTTAATCCAAATTCTCCACAATCTGCAAAACATAGTAAATTAACCGTATAATAGAATATAAATCAAGATAAATTAACAATAATGGCAAATAAATTAATGTAAGTCAAGTCAAATAAACGATATGATTTCGCGTTATCAAATATCCCCGCACTTAAACCATTGTTTATCCTCAAGCAATCAACCAACACAGTAAAAAGAAATAAGCATAATTTGAAACAAAGACACGATGACACTCTAATCATACTTGGCTGTTAGGCTAATGTTAGATCGATAGGTACTAAATATCAATACCAAGGATACTGTAAGGACACAATTTCAAAAACTCCCTACTTGTGCAAACCAACCTGAATCATGTCATTATAACTTAACCTATATCTCATGCTCTCTTTCACCCCCATTTCATTCTAGTGCAATCACATTAAGCCCGTTATCCATACATATTCATGGCAAGTAAACCTGTTAGTGACTATGATCTCATTGTTATTTCATTTTTCTCTGCAAATATGCTTAAGCATCAATTGAACTTAAAAAGTTTGTACCGTTGGGCTAAGTGATCGGGTGAGGTACACCTAACTTAGAAGGAACATGTCTTTTTATTCATATTTTTTTCTTTCTTAATTTCTCATTTTAAACCAGAGATCATACACTTATTTGCATCGGTTTCTTACTTAGTGTGTTTAGGATGGTGCTGACTGCTTAAATAAACTACTTAGGGATTACTAAACAACTGGAGCTTTAAGGTTTCGGCATAATGGGTACTCAAATAGATTTTGCATATTTAAGGGGTTAAGGGTGTCGGGATGATATCAATTTTATCAAAACTTTCCCAAGTTTCTCTAACATAGCTTGAACAGGCTATATACTCTCAGAGTACCATGTCATGAATCGAAGCAAAAATTGTTGGAGTTGAAATTTTGAAATTTTGAAATTATGGGGAAATTGAATAACAAGTGAAAACCATGCATAAAGACTCGACAGCACATGTAAAGACTTTGACATAACGTTAAAAACAGATAAAATTCCTAAAGGTATGAAATAAAATATAAAACAAGAAATCAAACTAAAAAAAATGATAAAATGAAAGCGGTAGAGTTCCTCCCACACACTTAAACCAAACATTGTCCTCAATGTTTTAATAAAAGGTGGAAAAAGGAAAGATAAAACCTGTATGAATGCTACTGCGTGCCAAATCCTCTATGATTCTGCTCTTGATGCCCATGTCTTCGTTGATCACTTCTACTTCGACGACGGGCGTTTTGAGATACCTTCATTTGTGTAATTCTAAAATTTTTGCTTAGATGTGGTCGAGACACACACACACACACACACACACACACACACACACACACACACACACACACACACACACACACACACACACACACACACACACACACACACACACACACACACACACACACACACACACAC